GATTTGGAGGCAAAGTGCAGACATGCTAAATAAATAAATAATAAAAAAATGTACAACTTAACTCGCATAACATGAAGGTACTCTGATATGAAGTTCACGGTGGGTTACTACTCTTGGCTTTCAAGTATACTATTCCTCAGAAAGTGTTTGAGTCGAAAGATTAATGAATAATTTATATGACCTTCAAGTAACAGCAGAAATCTGCCAAGAGTAGAGGGCTGGCATAGTAAAAGACTCTACCAGTGTTGCTTTGTGGAAGCCTGGAACTGATTATACCATTCCAAGGCCTAAATACGTAGTAAATATTTCATATTACCTCCACGCAGATTCACAAATGCATTATAAAAACATGATCAACTACATGAACTGTAATTAGTATAAGATGCATAAGATTTTAGTGTAAGATGATCACTGGTATTGCGTTTATTCACTGATTGTTCAAGGTTTAACTGGGGCAGCGGTGACTGAGCAAAAGCTTCCCGAATGCATAACCTAAGATCGTCCATCTTTCTGTGAAAACAAAAGCTGCAAGAAAAATGATCTACAAAGGATAAATATGAAATGACGACAGTGATTTCAAGAACAGTTTAAACAACAGCTGCTTGGGGCAAAGGGTGAGTTTTGGTTGTGTTTACACGGCCGTATTGCGCAATGCTCGGAAACAAAAGGACTACAAATTCAGCACATGCAAGATACGTGTAATGGATGCATCTGAGAGACCTAGCAAGAAGCCAACCAGCAGAGCTGCCATTATACTGACCCGCCGATGTACTTACAGGTGTAGAATGCTTTAAAATATTTCTGTCTTTATTAACCCCTGTAAAGTTAACAGGTACTTGTTTTGACCCTAGCCTATTTTCAGGTGAGACAATTGTTGACTGCCATAAACTGTTAATAATTAAGTGACTGATGTGATTTTTTTAGTCAAAGTATTATGTCCCATTCACATAATTTACAGATTCAATAAAGGCCTTAAAATTCAAGCTTATTCTATTGAGAAAAGGCTGTGCTGCCCATTTTCTCAGTGAAGACAAAATCCTTAGAATCTCTCAGTAACATTTAGTGGGTCATTTAAAAAAAAAAAAAAAAAATCATCGGAAGAAATAGTTTCAGATTGAGGTAACTAAAAATTCAGTTAACTGGCTAGGAAGGTATAGCCCTCGACTGTAAATCTTTAACGCACATCAGATTTGAAATGGGGGTCCTCCCTCCAGCTGTGGCCTCCAAGGACAGCAACGGGGGCCCAAGCCTGAGAGCTCAACCAATGAGCAGAGGCGTCCTGCTACAGGACAAATACTTCAGCGGCGCAGTCATCACTCCCAGCTGGAGAAGGCTCTCCAATCAAGCCGTAAAGGACCGCGGGGAAAGGAAATCAAAGCCAGATGAAGTGCACATTCGGATAGCACAGGAAAACATGAAACCCATCATGGAGCCGCACTGACTGTTTTAAGTTATATGTTAGCTGGAGGTGGTAGAGGGTGGCACAAGGAAAACCTACAAATAAATGTAGCACGTGAAAGAAAAGTCTTGTTGTTAAAGTCACATGCTTCTAGTCTCCGACTGTTGGCGATTTTTAAACGATTGCAAAATGACTTGAGGTTTTTTTTCACAACTTGTTGAAGTCCAGTCAAGAGCGCCGTAGTCACGAGTGAAAAATAATTGCAGAATGATCTAGCAATTACATGCAGTCATTCCCCAGCCGTGTGTCACGTAGGGAAAGGGGACTCGTGTGCTGGCTGTCCCTGTCCCTACCCCTCAATGACAGGATTGGTGCCAGCAACTTGCACATGGCCAATAAGATGAGCCTCATCTTCCCGATTGAGGAAGCAGCTTTCACTCTCTGCCTGTGCAGTAAAACACAGTCACCGGAGGTCAGAGAGCAACACAAGTGCCACAAATGTTAAAAGGCAGAGGGCAAGAATGGAGGCTACACTCCCTCTCTATACCCGGTATCCATGTGCTCATTAAGGAATGCCCAGAAATGAGGGTGAAACGTGAATGATATACAGTGTCAACTATAATTAGTATCAAAGAAAAATTTCACCAATGCAACAAAAGTCTTCCAATTTTTGAAAATATCTCTGCCATTAAAAATATATCATTAATCCGGTATAAAAACATGCTGTTTATTACAGGTTAGTTACTATCGTGCCGCTATAAAACCAATTAAATCAACAATTTATGTGAACTCACAATCTGAAACACTATCTAAGAAAGATCTGAAAACAAGGATTCAACACTTGTGTTTAATGCACTTGAACCGATTTCTGCAAGGGCCCCTAGGAAAGTTGTTTAAATCAGAAGTTTGTGGTTCACCACATAACACGTCGAAAAGCAAGTACGCGACGCCTGAGTTTACATGAAACCCCACGACAGCGTGTGCTATCCCAAGACATGCATCGAATCAAAGGGCTTGTTTTGCCTTCACTTAACCACCGGTAGAATGTAAAGCCAAATGAAGTATATTTTGGCTCAAGCCGGATGGTGCAGAAGTCAAAGAGAGGCTCTGCGGCCGAAACCCGCGCTCCTTCCATCTGTTTACATTACACACGTTTCTCAAATTGTACAGCTGCATTCCTCAGCTTACTGATCTTATTTATATAAACCTTACTCCACTCTGTACCTAACTGCACACATTCTTGTCGCTGTCAATATATTAGCTTTATTTTTTAGCCGAGGTTTTTCAGATGTTCCAACAGACGCGCATAAAGATCCACCTCCCTTTCATCGCGGGATACAAAGGTGGTTGGAGAAGAGCCAGTTTGATGGCTTCACTTCTTTGAAGAAGCACAGAAATAACACTGTCATCCATCAGCTGCACCCCTGCGGCACTGCTATTTAACTGGCGATTTCCGCAACCCCCACCTCCCGCCCCCCCCCAAAAGGCCGGCCTTTATGTGAGAGCCACAGTCAGGTGCTGCTGCAGGACTGCAACCAGGAAAAGCTAAAAGGGACCAGTGTTTCGGGGTCCTCCGGATCTTCTGCCCCTGCAGCTGTCTCTTTTAGTGCCTGCGCAAAGAAAGAGGGCAGAAGAAGAGAACGGGGAAACAGGTGGACTGTTAAATGACAAATTTGGCCTCTCACAGTGTGCCTGTGTTTTCAAAATAGCCCCCCGCCATCAGAGTGGCCAGGCAGACTGAAAAGACCTTCACATATTTAAAAAAACCTATACAAAATAGACAGGCACACCCAGCAAAACTAGCCGCACATAAGAAGACCATAAAAATGAGTTATATATTTTGGGAGGTATACAAATAAAAATTAAAGGATCGTATTTTTTCTCTTCTAAAGAGGGTCCTTAATGATATATTGCCACCTTATTTTGACATTTCAAGCAATAAGTGGACTTAAGTGAACCCTGAACAGAGGTCTATGAACAGAGATTAAAATAAATCCGTAAGACACCACGAAACGCTTCGACTATCTGTGATTTCAAGATATTTTTTTATCGCTGGCAGTTTCAGTGCAACATTCTTGTTTTTAATCAGTTTTGAAACACAGTGAGGACTTGGCTCCAGCATTTTTTTTGACGTTATTACGAAGCACGGACATGTTTTCCAAGTATTCCAGAAAGCCCTGGACCGCTTCCTGGTTCCTGGCAGTGGTCCTGGGATGCTGACTGTTCCCTCTGCCAGCATCTGGAAACCATCAGTGTAAACAATGGAGTTCTCCGGGCTGGATCTCCTTCCCCGACTCCCACGAGACTTCAATCCCAGCAACACGAGAACGCAGGAGCCGCTGGACACTGTGTGGTCAGTTACTCCCGTCTAACAAAGCCAGGCTCTTCCCCGCTCTGTTTAGCTTTAGACCACCGTCCCATTTTTACAGAGAAGCCCGGCTATTGTGATAAGGACAATAAAAGTATAGACGCACACATCTACACGCAACAAAATTTAATTACGCAAAATCAACTGATACATGGATGTAGAGGAAGATCAAACTAGATACACACAGATACAATCTCATCGTTCTCATCAGTGCTACATTTGACATTCTAGTTTTATTACTTTCTTAAATGTTTTCTTTTAGTATGCATATCAGCATTTGCCAAAGAGAGGATTTTATTTTTTGTTTTGGTTCCCTGCATTGAGAAAATGTTTTATGGGAACATTAATAATTATGTTGCGGATGTAGCGTTGCTATAAACTTGCGTTTTGTATGCATTAATCCATGCGACCTTGCCCGCTTGAGCATTCTGTTAGCGATGTCGCACTGAATTAAGATTGATAATTGGGGAACAATGATGCAACTCGGGACACTAAATAGAAAACCAGTACACCACGTTAAGTGCTCCTCAATCAAATCCTGTGTCATGCGGATAAATAAAGAACGCTGTGTGGAAAACCGTATCGTGTATCCTCGCCGCGGCGTCCTTGTCCGCGTAGGAGGACAGCGCTGCCATTAATTTATCTACCAGGGCTTGGATGTACTTTGGACTTTGACAACTGCATACAATCAGCAGAGCTACAGCAAAAAGCCAGATCTGTTGGTGAATGTCCAGCATATGCCGTTACTTCCATTACCCTCGCGTTCTGCTACGGGGTCGCATAACTCCCCCAGAAGCTTATTAGTGAAAAAATAATAATTTCCCTTCCTGACCACGTTCAGAGGTGCCATAACACATCAGGAAGCACTCTACCTTGTCACAGTAAAAGTCCAGCACTTTTTGTTCTAATTATACATAATTTATTTGTGCAGAATGTATTATTCTTATCTTGAAACATTTATTTTTAGTATCACAATATTCTGTTTTTCAGGATATTTTCTTTGTGTCCTGTGTGTGCTGTCAGTGTACTTTGTCTGTATGGCACTATATATATATATATATAAATTATTTTTTTTGCTCATCACTGTGCGTGTGTGTGTGTGCATATATATATACATATATATATAAATATCTGTTCATCAGTGCACTACATTCTCTCTGCTGTATGCACCAGAATTTCCCCCTTGTAATAATAAAGTCTATCTTAATCTTAATTTTAATCTGTTAGACAAACAAAATGCACCTTTTGTAATCGGCCGAACTACGAAAAAGCTATAATTCGACTTTTTTTCCTACTTAATGATTACTTAATACTTAATGATTTAACAAAAAAAGACTGTAAGAAATAAACTTTCTACAAAGTTCTGAAGGCTAAACACTGTAACAGATCTGGCAGACAGAACACTGCCTTTGACCGCATTGTGCTGATAACAAATTAATACAATATTTAGTGCTAAATCAATTGCAAAGTTATTTCCAATTGCATTATTATAAATTGAATACTTCAGGTATGAGCTCGTATACTGCATAATCTTAAATAAATCACTACTGTATTGTAAAGGCTACATCCACACTGGCCTGACAGAGCCAGAAACACACCCACACTTCATTGTGTATGATAAATCTGTCACACTTATACACGTCTCAGTCTTCCTTTGACAGCATGATTGGCCGACTTCAGCCAAAATTCAGCAAAGGACCAATCAAACAAGCCTTAGGGAGTTGGGCTGTTAACTAGAATAAGGGGAGCATGTTAAGAGACACTTTGTAAAGAGTCCAAACATTTCCCTACTTTGCACAGCTGGCTGAGTCTACTGCAAGTAGGAAGTGTAGCACCTACCAGAGGTGGAGATTCCAGGTCCAGAGAGTACAAATCTAGACCAATATTTTGTTTCAACCAACCAGCTGAGTATAAAGAGTCACAGTCGCAGAGTAACTCAACTGGCTGGTTGAAACAAAACCATGGTCTGGATTTGTACTCTCTGGACCTGAAATCTCCACCCCTGGTCATTTGTGATGGACTGTCCATCTATCACGCGTCATTTAATAGTCAGACACTTTGCTTAAGGGACTGTGCCTGGGAAATACAGTACACTCGGATAACCTTTGTATATTTTGGACTTTTCTGGTCAATGCAATTCAGAAGGGATTTCAAGTTTCTCAGCAGTCTTTTAAAAGTGACTTTTGAAGCAAATAGAGATATGGCATTCTCCTCTGACCTCTCTCAATAACAGCTCGTTTCCGGCCAGTGAAATGACATTTACTGGATATTTTTTTTTTTCGCTCATCACATTATTCTGTGTAGACACTGCAGTGAAAATCCCAGGAAGGAGGCTGTTTCTGAGATGCTGGGACCACCACGTATGACACCGACAGCAACATCCTGTCCGCGATTGGCCGGACAAACAGTACGTAAACCTGCTGACCCCGTCTGTGAGCTGTATGAATTCATTTGCAGCCACACGATTGGCTGTTTGAAGGCGTACTTAAAAACACTAACAAATGAGTGTCCAAATGTGCTGTAGGGTGTTATTAAGAAAAAGGTTTCTAAGTAATTTTTGTTGTGGCTCAATCAAATGCTTAAAATTGCAATGTTTTAAATCGGCATCGGTTGCTATATTACCAGCTGTCTTTACATCACACCAGAACATACAGACACTGGGATGTCGCTGGACCCCGTGAGAGCATATCATATAACACCTCTGACCCAGACCAATCCAATTATATTCCAAATATTTTAGGGCTCCTGCCATTGAGTGGCCCTTGGAAATGTCCCAACTCCCCCCCCCCCCTTGGCACACCCCTGGTCAGATATAATAATTAAGTGGGTGCACTACAGGGGGATGTAACAGCTGAGCAAAGGCACACTCCGATTCTGTCCACCGGTTACTGCTGTTGCTGGGCAGTAAGCTGCTGAGGCGAATATTTCTTTTGTGTACAGTCGTTACCAAGAACAGATATCAGCACTGCACACTGGAGCAGCACTGCCATATCAGCTGGGGAGCGTTATGTCTCTCCGGAGAGCACCAAACATGCCCTTGGTTGCAGTTAGCCGGTCAGAATTTGTAAAACTGCCATCAGTAATTAAGTGCATGATTAAAGATGCAGACGCAGGGGGCTTGTAGCTTTGGGGGGGGGGCAGGCATTCCTCATCTTTGCCAGCAGGGACACATCCTGAACGTTCTACCTCTCGAACCCTTTGCCAGTCACTCCAGGGAGTCCGTGTGAATAAAGCTAAGCTTGTTTGACAGGGACAATTGTTCATATTGCTACCATTTAAATTGAAACACACTAAACGGAACCCAATTTCCTGCTTCAAAGAATGAAACTGGCTAAACACTGATGCTAATTTCATTGTGTATTTCTTATATAACTATAACCAAGTCTTTGCATGCCTACATAGCCTTTTTAAATTACCTCAATTTGTGTCAATTTACAGTGATGTGTAGAATTTTTTCCCCCTATAGTCATTTGGCAAGTATTTAAAAACAACACTTTTGCACATTTGGTAAGGTGATCACAGATGCTACAGACTGCGAGATGGTGCCATCGACAGAATAGAGAAAATGCAGCCGACACCAAGTCTTGGTAGAAATTTTGTAACAAAAATTGTTTTTCCAGCTCAATGGAAACAGAGGAACACATTGTAAATATATGTCAGCATAGCTGTGGGTCTATCTCTTAATTGTTTATAAAACAGATAATTATATATATATATATATATATATATATATATATATATATATATATATATATATATATATATGACTAAGAAGTCATTCAACAAAGTTGAAGAATGTTAGGAATGGAATTATCGTCGTACAGATATTTTTATGCCTACATGTTTCTGTTGGCACAGTGACCTTCTCCATGATACAGACAAACAGAATGTGACAATTGTGCTGTGTTTCCATATCCATGACCACTGATGCTGGCAAACACATGAAAAGTGATAAAGCCCAGATATGCCGCAAAATCACCACATGAAAAAATATGTATCCAACAAGTTCAGTCAAGACAGCGCTCTGTGTTATTTGAGAAGGTGCTCTCTCTCTCTCCCTCTCCCCCCCCCCCTCTCTCTCTCTGGCCGTGTGAAAGCTAAAGACAGCTGTGGTGCATTCAATGAAGGTTAGTAAATTTTAAAGAGTTTTTCCAAGTTGTACGCTCTGTTTACGATAAACCCACCGCAGCCCTCAAATGCAGGGAAAAGAGTGGGGATGAGGGTCGTCCTAAAACCTATGGAAGCAAATTTGCGTCCGACTGGTAGCGATGACATTTTCTCCTGTCGAGAAATAGAAGTGTGGTTTACAAAGGAAACAAAAGTCTCCACAGATGATGTCGAGCATACAGCGTTTGTGATGACTCGTGGAGAATTACAACATGCAGATATTGATGCGAGTGATTGTCTGTGATATTTTAAGCATTTAAAACTAGTAAATTTTATATATTATTTTCAACCTTTTCAAACTTTAAAAGTCAACATAAAGGCAAACATCAAAGATAAATTTCATAAACTGACCCTCTCAAAATGAAAAGCAGATTTTATCAAGTAAAGTCAATCCACCACATTAGTTTAAAATCAAAAATCTGGCATCAAATCAAAGGTTTATCTATGAAACTTCTCCAAACATTTGATGTATTACTGAAGAATCCTCCATAAAACACAACAGTTGTTTTGCTTAAATGTTAAATTTACAATTTTAAACCTCAGCAAGTAATGCAGAAATGCTTTCAAGGTACTTTTTCGGTGCTTGCCGAGATATGCAGTCACTCTGAACCTTAGCGTGCTTTTCTGCCAATGAGTTTCATTTTGTAGAGATATCCATAGCAAAGATGTCACATCCTACATTGCACATCTCCCCTCTATTTGGGTTCACCTACCCAGATCAGACATGAACCTGTACGATTGTCTAATTACCTCACGCAGCCTCACAACCTATAGTATGCTTCAACTTATGGCCACCGCTCTTCTGTGCGATCAGTGCCCGGTCGCCACGATCTCTGAAACCATTTCCCTTAGTGCAATTAAATACTTTAGCAGTTTTGTGACTATTTGACCTCTTTGTAATTCTGTTGGTTGCCCCATGTTGCTTCCAACGCTCGCATATCGTTTACAGCTGATGCACACAGTGCTGGCTGGCATTCAGCCTAACATGACTCACCTTTGTATCTGCATTTGCAGTTGGGATTTGGTTACTTCAGAGTTGTTTTTCATGTGATGTTTCCATTATTTTACCCACCCACCCCACGTGTTTATCCATCTGTCCATCTTCCAACCAAAACTTGTGCAGGGTGGCTGAAGGGGCCTGGAGCTTATCCCAGACAAAACTGAGCGCAAGACAAGGGACCACCGGCATCATACACCAGGCCGTTATAGGGCTTGCACACGATGCCAACATCACACAGTATCGACAATTCAGAATCAGTGCACCTAACTCTCGACTGTGAGGGGAATCTGGCATATCTGGACTCCACCCACATAAGACCACACAAGAACATGCAAACTCCACACACCTAGATTGTTGGTGGGATTCGATTCCCTAACACTAGAAGTGCCAGGTAATGGTACTGTCATAACCTGTTGGAAAAAAGGAACAATTTGGACAATTATTTGTCACTGGGGCTGCACCCTCAAGGCTCTGCCAACTGTACCATAGCTGTAGGTAAATGTACCTTTTGAGGTACATTTTTGTACCATTGGGGACACATTAATTTTGTTTCTTCCATAAAGAACGAAACTGTACCAGGGCTGTGCAGACAGTGAATGACACCTGAACTGCTGAATGCTGCTCAGTTTTTATCGTAACATTATTTCCAGTACCTTTGGCAGAAATCAGACCTGACTCCTTACTTTTAACATATAACCCAGACTTGATACCTTACTTCATGTATAAACCATATGCAGCACCAAGTTTTTTACTGGGGCTACATTTAAATATAAATCTTTTCAGAAGACTCGATATGCTGCAGGGAGAAGTACGAAAAGCACTGACTCATATACAAAAAACTGTAAAACTAATATTGTTCCCATAATAATATGAAAGCCATTCAACAAATTTACCCAAAGAAATTAAGCTGGATGGGAACCACTTTACAATAAGACTAGGCCTACTCTTATAATGGGTTTATGAGTGGTTTATAATCAGACTATTAATTAGGTTGTAGCCCTTTGTAAATCATTAATAAACAATTATAAACAACTTATAACCATTGTTTCATTTGTTAATCAGAAGGTGCCACAATGCAAAGTGCAAATGAGACCAGAGGGGTAATGAGGCAGGGTTAGGGTTAGGGTTAGGGTCCTGGAATGCGTACGAAACACAGTCCTGAAAACATGCCACATATTGTTAATAATAAATCAGTTAATAAAGGATGTGAAGTAGCGTGAAAATTGGTCTGTAAATTAAAATACATAGGCTACTTATTAATTTTTTTCTTTTATGTTGTTTTTAATTTTATTTTAACCAGAGAACTGCCGAATCTATGCAAATTGGTGCCAGGATGTGAACAGTCAAACAGATAGCTCTTTTCCACCAGCAAAGAACTGATTCCGTTCCGGTTCATAAACCAGTTCAGTTCAGAACCAGTTCAGTTCAGTTGCCAACTGAACTGACCCGTGTTTCCACCAATTTTGTCTCAATAGTCGGCACTATTGTGTCAACAGTGGTGGGTGTAGCTGAGTAGGTGGAGTTTACATTTGCCTCAAGGTGTAAAGTAACGAAGTACAAATACTTTATTATTATATTTCAGTAGCTTTTTTCTGAACTTGTATTTTACTTTCAATATTCAAAGCACCAGAACTAATGACACGTCTACTGAAATAATGGAGGTGTGACACACTGGATGATCAGCCACTTGCCATAGTCGACGACGAGGAATTTTGTCGGGTTAATCCCTACTTATAAGAGAACTCAAAGTACCAGCCCTTGACATGGTTATAATATATTATTAAATATGGCACAATCGATCTTTTGTTCTCCACCGAATAAAAAATCAATGTAATGGCGTTCCATTGATCTTTTATTTGAGTAACATTTTGGCGTGGTATCTGTACTTTTACTTAAGTACAAAAGCTGAGTGCATTTTCCACCACTGCCTCCATGTTTGTCTCATGCCCGTACGTACAATAGTACACGCCCACTCATGATGTCATCATGGTTCCCAATCAGGATCCAACTATTTCTAGGTTCTCAACACGTACCAGTGTTTTGGTTTAAAACCTGTTTTTATTTTGGTGGAAACTCACAGAACCCTTCAAAAACAGGTTTTGCGAACTGCAATGGAATCATTTCTCTGGCAGTGGAAAAACACTAATAGAGATCCCGGAATGCATTCCGACAGGATGCAGCACAAATAAGGCCCTGTTATAATGCAGTTTTTCATTAGTAATGAGTTGCTATCATGTATA